ATAATCTCTTAAGAGATTATTACAGAGCATAGCCATCTATGACAAGCTCAGATATCAGAATAATAGCTATAACTGCTGTTTTTGTTGTTAAACAGAATACATCATATTTATGAGTACTTTGTTTTTATGGTGAAATATAGATCTCATATGAAGAGTTATTATCCCTTTAAGTTTCCTGGTTTGATCTCGTGTTTCTTTCCAACAGTGAAGTCCAAAGTTTTCAACATATCATATTTTGTTGTATACAGGTAACCAATCACATAAATTCTTAAACTGTATGCCAAAAAATGTACTCCTGCATGCAGATATTTGTAGCTTGCATGTTTTTCATGCATAAATGCAACTAAAAATTCTTGGCATTGTAGCAAACTTAAATATGATTATGCCCTAGCTGGTAGTTTTAAAATGTACATATTGTAATATATGTTACTTTTTTTCATGCAATATCTGTTTGCAAGACCAATGTCATTGAAATTGAACCTGATATTTGAAAACATTTTATGTATATCAGGGAACACACTTGTTCATGGCCCTTTTATGTTGTCTTTGTAGGTACAAACTAGGAGTGCAGATGAACCTATGACAACTTTTGTATTCTGCAATGAATGTGGTCACAGGTGGAAGGTGAGTATACTATGTTACTATTGTAGCTACTATGCTACTATTGTAAAAATTATAAAAATTTAAAGAAAGTCATTCCTTTTTCCCCCCAAGAATTTATATTATACCTTTCTTTCACTAGTCTGGAATGTCTTCCTTTTTTTTTAATAGAAGCTTGTTTGTTTTCTTATAAGTAAGCTATTTCAAAAAGTTCCAGTAATTATATTGTTAAATGAATTTCAAAATGTAAAATTAAAATAATCACCATTGCTGAGACAGTTTCCAATTTGAAAGCACTAATTGTCCTGTTTACTTTTTGTTTTTTCAAAGATATGTGGAATGAAAGCTTTAGGCTTGAGACTGATTTTATTTATTTTCAGTTCTGTTGAGTAAACAGAAGAAATCTCTTATGGTGCAAGCCGTAGAATTAACTACCAACATTACTCCATGGAAATCATTGGCCAAAAATGCAGAAACTCTGGAGCAGCAACTCTGTCTTTACATCAGATGATATTCAAGAAAAGATCTTCAACTGTCAAGTGCAAATGCTATAGCCTTGTTTATTAAACAGATGGAAGTTTAAAACTTATTTAGAATTGCTTATTGAGAGGAAACTACTTTAACCTAATTGAATATTGTTGTTCAAAGAAGTTATTCCACAAATAAGATACATGTTACTAAGTATAGTACAAAAATATAATTATCATCAATCAGAGTTTGCCAATGAAATTTCAAAAGTCCAAGTCTGATGGTAATCAAAGTGGAGTTCTGCTAAACTAAGGTACTGCACAAATGTTTCAGTTTGATGGGTCGGAAAAAAAATAATTTTAGATGTATGACTCAAACTTGGTATGTCGCAACTTGTTTTATTCCTGATTAAGAAAATGGTATGTCATGGATAAAATTGCTATTGTACTTCAGTTTAAGGAAATCTCAGAGTAAAACATTTTGGTGCTTTGGGACAGTTTCACCTCTAAGATACAGACCAAAATCTCTTCTTTAGATTTAACCTTAAATGCAGATCAGGAGTGCTTTTTGCAAAAATGTGGCCAATTTGTCAAGTATTTTCATATTTAAAGAGTTAAAAAGGTGTAAGAGTTTTAAAATTAGACATACATATAAAAAATGATGAATATTCTCAGCACTGATTTAATCTTAATTTTGGTTTAGGTAAGTCCAGTCAACATGTGAAACTGGCCTTAATGTTTTATAGATTATAAAAGCGTCAGTGAAAGGAAAAGCAAGTTGCTGCATCTCTGTGTGAAGCCCCTTTTTTTCACCAGTGTAGTTATGTAAACACGTGAAAGAAGATTAGTTGTATAAATACATATTTGTATAGTTTTATAAATAAATGATTGATCTAGAAGATTTTTTTAATTCGTTTCATGACAAATTATAACCATGGTGTGTTAAGATTCAAGTGTATCCTGAGCCCCCATTTCTCCAAGTGACATTCGCTTTCAGTAGATCTGCACTGCAAAAGCTTTGGTAAAGGATCAGTAAAGGGTTATAAAGTAGTCTTACCCTTTAAGATCTAATTTGAGAAGAGAAATGGTATAAATGAAGATGAGTAATATTTTCCATTCCAATTTGTAATTGCAAAGATGAATGGTACTGCACTTTTTTTTCTGTGATTGTGCCCACGAGGCCCTTTACGTCTGATGACAAATTCTGATTGTGACATGGAAATTCCAAGAAAAGTGTTCAATATGCTTTGATATCACCAAATGAACATATGCTGCCAATCATGTTAATTGAATAAAAGATAATCAAACAGATCTGTGTTCACTGCATTCCTTCAGGTAGTGCGCTCTTCAGTAAATAAAGGCGAGAAAACGCTTAAAAACAAACCAGGGTGAGGCTGTAGAAATCGACCATAAACGGATATCATGACTTATTTGGTTTATCTATTCACGACAATATAGTGAGTACGTTGATGTATTGATTTTAGGCTTCTTACGTGTTATCATCAGTGTCTTTACTTACAGAAACGTATGGAAAGTTTCCCGTGGATTTTATTGCGTGATAATGATTAATGTTCGAGCCTCCTACTCGGTCCACCTACAGTACATTACTATATCTATGTCATTAGTCCAGGAATACACCCAAGACTTGTCTTAAGGAAATAGTTCATTGTTGAATTAATAAAGATCCTGTTTTTAACATTTCGCGCTTATTGGAATACTATAGGTTTTGGATATGTTCATCTACTTTGATTGCATGTTCTTAGTTACATTATGCAGATCAAAATACGTAACTAATATGTAAAGATTATAATCATAAAGGACAACACTAAGAATTCCTTACCATACTTCACCGTACCGTGTTTTAATACTACGTCGTGTAGATAGGATAAGATGAAGATTATAGGATGGAACTTGTATTTATCATATTTACTGCATATTGTTGTTATTTTTAATTAATATTTTACTGTAAACGCTGTCATTGTATTTTCTTAAGAAACTGCCCAAGGAATAATTATAATTATGGCCCAAGTAGTCAAGTCTGGATGGCTGAAGAGATTTAGTCGTAAGTACAACATTTTGTTGAAGTTTGCAGATTTTGTTTATGAAAATTTATTTGTCTTATAAAGCCACAGCTGGATTTAATTTTTCTTCAGTTTATTGATAACGATAATTAATTCTTACAAGTAAGTAAACATCAGTAAAGTCAAGTGTGATATATTAGTTCATCATAAATAGTCAATACCTTTCTCTTATAATATCTTCTAACAAATGTCAAATATTGTGTGTATGGTTCTCTTATTCCAGGGAGTTTATTTAGTGGAGGATGGAAAAATGTATGGGTAGTACTACATAAAGACAGTGCTTTAGTATTTTACAATAACCAGGGTGATCATACACCAAAGGGAAGTGTTTATTTAAATGTAAGTACATTTTTGTCACTTTTCATGAATATTAATTGTTGTAGTGAAAATAAACATTTTTAGAGTTACCAGAAATCATCTGTTACCAGTAAGAAAGGATTTTTCAAGCCATTAGCAAGCACCTAGTACACTACATGAAACAAGATTTAGTTTCAATTATTTCACAATGTGGGTTTTTTATCATTTTAGAATGTATGCAATTTCCTAGCTGTTGGTAACTATACCAGTGTCATACCAGACAGGCCAACAGGGGTACAGGTAGAATGCCTGATAGCAGTACCACAAGAACCAAGCAAAACAGCTAAAATCAATTGGTTTCTGTGTAATTCACAACAAGAAGTAAAGTAAGATTTTTCAGTGTCAACAGCCAGTGTGAAACATTTATGCAGATTTACAGTAGTAACCTAGTTAGTTTAATATCATTTGTTAAGAAGACCTAAGGCTTATAATTCGTATAGGTGAGGTCTGCTAACTTAAAGATGGGACTATTTGCATAAGACTGCAAATTAGCTTAACATTGCATCATCCCATTCTTTTTCATTTATGTGGCATATGTAGTCTGTTGATTCAAGTTACATCTGCCCGGTCTAAAATTGTTCTTGTCTGAGTGCAACTTTAAGAGCTTGCAAATATAAAACAACTAAAGGTTTTGAATAAAAAAAATGATGATATCCAAAATTGATGATATACAAGTTGAATAGTGGATTACATTTATTTAATGATTTTTGTAACTACTTTATTTCAGTGATTGGATGTCTGCAATTGTATCAACAGTAAGTACTTCAACACAGGTGTAATTTTCAAACCTTCACATCACCAATCTTAAGGGAACAAAATTTTATTGATACAGGTTTGACAGATATTGTGCCTATGGTGCTTTCAATATTTCATGTTACTACTTTCTTCAATTTAATGAGACTGTGGCTGCTTTCACATTTATTTAAAACAAGTGCAATTTTTCTTTAGTTTCTGGTGTGATATTCATAATAAGGTATCTTATCATTATTGTGAAAAAAAAATTACACCTCAGCTTTCATCACAACCCTGGTGAAAAAAGGCCCGTAGTGCATCATTGTTTCAGTCACCCGTCATTACAACCATACCATATTTATACTTTGATTCACACCAGCACAGAAATTGTTCTTGACAAATGGCAAAATGTATAGGTCAAATCGATGCAGGATCACAGGCAAATGGTTAAATTACATTTGTTTATTTATTTATTTATTTATTTATTTATTTATTTTTGCTGAAGTAAACAATTAAGTATTTGGCATTAAAATTATGTGAAAACATCAACCCAGACCTGCACTGTAGTCACAGACTTATTAATACAGCATAGGCTTTAAAACATGTCTTTGTGTCATATTTCCAGCTCCCACCACCACCACAACAGCAGCAGGCAACGGCTCCAAGTGCACCTCCATTTACTGCTAGCCAGCCACCAGCCAGTGGAGCAGCTCCTCTAGGATTTGGAGCAGTAGCAGGTATAAGATTAGTTTAGATGAAGTTCAGGGTACATGTCTAAAATATCATTATATTGTTAGATATTTTTTACTCCATTAATATGATTTTTTTTTTCAGTATGGAATGGTCTTTTGATGTAATAGCGCACATATGAATTTTAATTTAACTAAAATACGGATTGGTCAAATATGGTTTATAACTGTTTGCAGTCTTATTTTTTGCAAATTAAAATCATTAAAATAACTTTTCCATATTATTTCAGTCATTTTGCATCTGTAACATTTTAATTGCTCATTACCTCTAAACATATCCTTGTTTTTGGATATGCTACAAATTTACTGTTTTTTTCCATTACAGGGGCAGCAGCAGCAGGCTCAGCACCCCCACCATATCCACAACCATCACAACCATATCCCTCAGGACCCCCAGGGGGATACCCAGCACAACCTCCAGGGGGATACCCACAACAACCCCCTGGGGCATATCCACAACAGCCCCCTGGGGGATACCCACAACAACCCCCTGGAGCATACCCAAGGCAACAACAACCATATCCACAGCAGCAAGGTTACCCTCAGCAGCAGTATTACCCACAGCAACAGCCTTACCCAGGACAGCCAGGTACTGTCTGAAACTCATTTCTTTCGATAATTTTCTACAGTTAATGTTTCACATATTTTGATAGATGAACAAGCTGTATTTTCTGATCTATCTGTCTCTATATCCTTCTTTTGAAAGATTAAAAAGCAATATGCAGATCATGTTTAGTTTAAGTGATGATGTGAGGTTTTTCACAAGGTGAGATATGATTGGCTGGTTTTAAATCAGATTTTTGCAAGTTTGTTTCATGACCAGGCTGCCATCACCTCAATTTTTATTGCTCACTATTTAGGCAGTTCTGAATTGCAGATGTCAGGTATCACCCAAATGACAGTGCACACAAATGTTACTGTACAAAGAGACCAGTGTACATGTATCTGATTGCATTTCTTGTGTGCATCCGGTCTTGGAATAAGGCATCTGTAAATAAAACTGCATATTAATTCAACAGGTCCCTCTGGGTATGCTCCACCTCCTGCAGGTTACCCCCAGCAGGCCTATGCTGGTGCCCCCCAGGGAGCATATGCTGGTCAACAACAAGTGTATAGAAAAAAGAAGAAGAAGGGAATGTTAGGGGGCAATGCTGCAAAGATTGGTGCAGGTAGATAGCTTTTTTGAGAGAATTGTCTCCTGGAGAATATTCATGGAAGTAGTTTTCTTTTTAGGAAAACATTAACATTCCATTTGAAATTGAAAAATATTGATGGACCCTTCAGACTAACAGATTAGTCCTAGTTTATATGTAGAAAATATTTGTCATAAAGCTTGGGAACAAATCTAGCTGACCAGGTTGAAATTCATTAAATAAAAAAATTAATACCAATGATACCCATTATAAACATTCTGGCTTTTTGAAAATATTGAAACTTTTTTCCTGATTATTTTGACTAGTGCTTAAAGTCCATGTCACTTATGTTCCAGGTCTTTTAGGAGGTGCAGCATTAGGATACGGAGCGGGTAAACTGATGGGTCACGGCATGGGCTGGGGATTTGGGGGTGGCTGGGGTCACCATGGCAGCTGGAGTTCACTGGACAGTTGGGGCAGTGGAGGAAGCTGGGGAAGTTGTGGAAGCTTTGGAAGTTTTGGTGGGGATTAAAGAGTCTGTATTGTTCATTCTCTTTACACAGAATGCCATTTTAGACACAAATGGATTGAGGTTAGATATAATGCTGAAAATCTATAAATATTCTGTATGCTTTAAGGATGATATACTCCATGTTTTTTATTTAGAGAACCATGGGCTAGAAAATAATAGTTCAACACCATATATGTAATAATATTTCCACAAAGGGTTGTGTTTCTTAATTTTTTGTGTCAACACTTGTGAAAAAACTGATAACTTATTTATGAGTCATAAAAATGAATTTGTTTAACTACTTTGTGTTCAACAGCCTGTTGCTGAAATGACATGAATTGTCTAGCAGAAATATTCTTGTTGAATGCCTTTCTCTTGTGAAGTCACTGAATTTTTATGCATGATGACATATTTTGTATTCAGCATATTCTCACTAAATCTGCAATTTTAAGGTCCTTTAGCCCATATAAATGATTGTAAATATATTTTAGGCAAGGATTCCATTTACCTTTAATATTTATTTGAGACTGAATACAAAGATCTGTCTTTGTGAATATTACAGGTGTACATGTTTTCAAATGGTAAATTTACTGCATTTGCATGTTGTTTTGATATATTTTGTGTAAATGTGTTCTTTAAAAATATATGTCACGGTAAAGACTTAATCATTTCAACCGGGGAAAAATAATCAATTTTTCAGATACCTAATTTAAGAATAATAAAAAATTCATTTCTGTGTAGCAATTTTATGCTTATACTGTATAGAATGAAACTTTAAGGTAGTCTGGTTTTCCACTGTGTTGCTACCACTCAATAGGAGTGTTCTCATTTCAAGAATTTATTTCTTACAAAGAATACAGTATCTCAAAGTCAGGTTGAAATGATTGAGCTATTACTGTATCACTGCTTTCCATTCATATTGAAATAATATTATTCTGCTCTTTTCGTGTTGGATTTTTGTCCATAAGCTTGAAAACTTTATTTACAACAGGGAAGTTAGTCTCTTGTTCTTCCCCTTTGTGTATAATTGTCATTATGTGTGTGTGTTATTCTGGAGAAAAGATATCTTACCTATAATATATTATAAAAATGCTATATAAAGGGTTTTGTGTAGTCAAGATTATGTTAATGGTCATGCACTGATTAAAAAGGTGAAATTGGCTGAATAACTGTAAGAAATTAGTTTTACACCTACCCGGTAGAATGTCTGTGAAGTTACATAAGCTCTTAAAAGTATGAATAGTTGGAGGAAATGTTAAAAACAGTGATAACATTTTAACCGTTTTTATATTATTATCAGTCATTAAGTTTTGGAGTAAATGTTTTATCTACGGGTTTATGTTCTTTGTTATGATAAATTACTAGATTTGCTTATAAGACAAGCATCCAACAAACCTCTGAAAAACTAGGAGATGCTTCGGGCTCTTTCTCCATAAAACTCTGTAGATTGATCTTACTCTGCAGGGAATGCAATCAGATAAACAGCTTGACACGCTTCCTCTTGGCATTGAGTAGAATGCAGGAAAGCTGATGTTTATACAAGTACTTTGGAAACAAGAGGAGGCATGTTAATCTGATTGCATTCAGCAAGAGTCCCGGTGGAGTAAGATCAATCTACATAGAACCATAGTTTCATTGCAAATGAGCCCTTAGAGAGCCCAATCTGACCCCTCAAAAAGTAGGAAACTGCATTCTTTTTTTTTCAACTATTTAATAACAATACATTTTGATAAATGTCTACCACTGCAGCTCATGCTTACTATGCTAAAAAGCAGACACATGAGGAAGTGGGGCTTTTTTTTTTCAAAACTTTAAATGAATAAACTGAAAACATGGGTTGCAGTTTTCTTAAAGTAATTCTTACTCTGAATCCTAAATTGTTTTAAAGGGATTGGAATCTTGAAAAGGTTCCAGAGTCCACCCAACGTGCTGAGCTGCCCCACCCCTATCTAACGTCCTTGATCCCCTCGGTGAAATGTAGGATTTGGTTAACAATAGGCGTTTTTTTTTTCAACATAACAGATTGTCAATATACAAGTAGGATTATACAAATTCATTAAAAGACGAGACCGATAATCGAAATTATTTTATTTCATAACGTCATCAAACAAAATATAAGAATATACACTATGTACAACGAATATAAATTCAGAAAATTACTCTGAAGAAAGCAGATGTTTTGATCCTGGTCTACTTTCATTTCAACACCTCACTTAAGTCATATTTTATCATTCATAGAATGAACTGTTTATGATGTAATGTTTAAGTGTCCAGAAACAGTGTCTTAATTTCTTTCTGTCATTATTTTAACCAGATTGACATTTCGAAAAAAGTGTCTCATATGCACGAACTGCTTAATTTGTTTTCATTCTTGATGGTTGTTACTCTGCTAATGGCTTAACCTTTTCCACAGAATAACATTTACGTTTGGTTTTCATTTGTAAAGTGACCATATACTACATGTAATACTGTCTAGATTTCTTACGAATTAACATCTTTAAAGCGTCTCGTTCACATGATGGCCAACAACTTCCCTATAAGAAGGGGTATAATGACGTACATTTTTCTTTTTATATAAAGGATATTCATATCACACATTTAAGTGATGTCAGTTTGCAAAAGGCTATCAACAGTTCACTGTCGCATCTCCATCTAGTTAAGCTGGACCCAAAACAGAACTATCTAGAAATTTTGCATCTAATGCTCTGTCCTCATCCACACACGTCGAGGGGGGTCTGCTTAGACTATGAAACACTGCACCACGTTTTGACATAGTTGAGCAAATGTTCAGATAACTTGGACGGATGAAATGCCCTACAAAAAATGGAAACTTAATAAATATATAAACATAATATGCTTCTCAATCTAATATTTTAGAAGAAATATCAGAAATATAGACATATATCAACTCCCTATTCGGAGAGAGAAGACCAGTAAAACTTGCCGTAAATCAAGTATTTGCTCAAAATAGGAAAAATCACCACTGCAAAATTTCCAAAACTCTCCGCGTAGTTAAAACGGTTTCATACGTATGTCAACTTACCAAGAACTTGGGTTTCCATTTTAGGACGTGGTCGTTGTTATACGTGCAGCCTCACTCCAGTAGCCCCCACGACCTGGTTTTGCTTTAATAGATACTTTATACAGTGTGTTGGGAATCAAACCATCTACTCTTGCTCCTTCTTGACGCGTTTCTATTTCCTGAAATAAATACATAGGCGTATCGTTATAAGGTTCATGTGTAATTAATTATCACAAGCATTTAAAGGTCGTAAGTCATAAACCAGTAACGTGGGATATCCCAACCACATCCCAACGTGGGTCCGTTTTGAACACTGCTATGCATTTTGTGATTCTATTTTTTCTTTTTTGTCCAAGGCAAAGCAGATATTTCAATTGTTTTATCCTTTGATCACATCCGGATTGATCTCAATTCCTTCAACTAAAAGTAAGTTCCTGCATGACTAACACTACTATCACTATGCGCCACACTGAAAGTGTTGTACTGATGCTTTACTCAAATCTAGCGTTCGATTAAGACAGTAAAATGTAATAAAATGTCCCCTTACCTTTATTGTACCGTGTTCGCTCTCCAATAAGACATTGTACATAAGCCCAGAATACAGTCTATTTGAACTTAGATTCTCGGGATGCGTCCACGACAACTGCAAATGCGACTGGCCCTTGTCCAAAGTCTTCAACTCTCTTACTGGTTTTGGTTTCACTGAAAAAAAAGTTCTTTTTATTGTAATGTTTCAGTTGTTTTAGCAGTTTTACATGAGTGCATGAGACCTACATGTAGCAATATATCTTTATGCTCTTTGCGCGTACGTCAGACGCCTGAGATACCATATCAGTGTCATATCTTATAAAACGGTATTTGAAAGATCTTCCTACCGATTTCATACGTGTTGACCATTTCGTAGCTTGAAAAGGATTCTCCATGTTCGGGATGGGTGCCTCTGACGATGACATAATAGATGAACCCCGCCTTGAAACTGTCGATGCCGTCATCCTGTTGAAACCTGCAGGTATTTCCTTTTGTGTGTGGGCACAGGTTCAATGACCCTGGACTGAAATAATAAAATTCAATTCAATTCAATTCAGTTCAATTCAAATCAATGCATAATGATCTAGTTAAAATGTGCCAATCAAAAAGTACATGTTTATGATTGGATGGATATAAACATTCTGTATATGTGGTAACGTATGGCGATCGTTCGGCGTCATTAAAATGAATTCGTAATTGTGGCTGATTCATTGTAGTCTATAAAACACCTGATAAAATAAAATCTCTGAGCAATGTGTTAAGATCTTGTTTGAAGAGTAGGAAAATGTGTAGACTAGCGATCAATTGTTCTTGTAACGTTTCCTGGTGCAAACTCCACCTGATTTTTAAAACTCATGTGGTGACTTTATTCAGAAATCCGAAACTCGGTGAAAATTAAGGGCAACAAGAGCGCTCTAGGATTCTTTTCGGCGTGAAAAAATTTACGGCATGCATGATTTCAAGAGAACCTCACACATGATACCCTGACCCAGTGGTTTCGCTATCTTAAGCTACTTCACCGGCTGTTTCTTTTCCCTGGTCGATTTCTTTTTCAAATTTAAACGGCCACCTGCTACATGTACATGTTACAGGTGTGAGTAGGCGTCTGGGGCATTCACTAGTTACTACTTGGCATTCGTTTGGTTTGTTGGGTTTCCTTGTATTAAATTTTCAACTACATGTCGCTTCCCTGAAGATAAATAATTTAGTTTGTCGTCTTAAAAAGCGGGGGTGCTTTATGACGGAAGCTACTCATAATAGTTTCCCTTACCCTTTTTATCCAGCAAAACCTTTATAACAATATCATCTAAGCTAATGACAAACTATCACACTACTTACTGAACGGTCCAAAGAAGTGTGTAGTTAGAGTCCTGGGCAATTTGGGCGCTGTCGACCACTTCCCAACTACATATCATGTCTTCAAAGTTATTAGATATGCAGCGAATGTTGTCCGCCACTTTTGGTTTGACTGAAAAGAGCATAACATTCATAAATACCATCGAAATAAACCTACTGAAAAAATCATTATAGTGGTATACAGGTCAAATACTTCAAAGGTCCCATTTCACAGGTCGACCAGAAGCCATTGCTAACCATCGGAAAAAAACCGACCCAAAACCAATTTCGCGCTAAGTTTTATCAAGACAAAAATGTGAAATCATTCTTGTGAAATTGGAGTCCGAATGTTGCTTTTGGGGTGAGCCATTGGACGCGGAGAAACATTTCAATTCCCAAAAAGTAAACATGACTGAAGGCCATTGATCAAGTTAATGCGAGGTTAGATTACTTTGTTTAAATTTTACGTCTCTTAGAAATATTTTCGGAATTGTATTTCACCACAATTTGTGGTTTGATCAAGGAAGTCCATAAGTGCCAGTCTTCGATTAACTTCTCAAAATCCAGTTAGGTTATTTAATTGTGAATGTTCATATTTGCCTCATACATGCATGTATTCTACACAGGCATTAGATTACAACTTTCGCAGAAAAGAGGTGTAAATTAAAACAGCGGCGAAAACATTTTGAATAATTACGAATCGATTTACATCCTTGTACTTTCTTTAATTCTGAATTGGTACCAAAATTATCAAAATCAATATCATAGATAATAGATTTAAGAGTCATTTTTTACGAAGATAAATACATCAAAGTATATCATTTTATCAAAAAACTAACACGTACCTCCCATGGGTGCTGCAAACACTGCACAGGGAATCAAGATAGCCAGATAGACGGTTGTCATCCTCATTCGTAAGCTTTCCATTCTCACAACAATTCTTTTCTCAGTGATGAACTTCAAATAACTGTCTTCTAAAACTTGATCAGTTGCCTCTGTATATTCTTGAGTAGGTTATGACTACTATTGGCTCGCAGGTCTCTTTTATAGACATCTTAATTTCCGGTTCCTGAGAAACGGCGGGGTGACAATGATGTCACAAGCGTTGTGGACATAAGCACTCGAGGGCCTCACTCACGTTTTGTTTGGATAAAATGTTTATGTTAACCCGCTACCGAGACGCATTCTTAAAGCGTGTTATTTCTATTTTTAGAATTTATGAGGCGTTGATTTCGCTATACTTATGATCTCGTCTCTCTAACTTTATGTTGTATATTTTAATATAGACTTATCACATACTATTGTAAAGTGACAAATTATTATTTCACGTGAACTGTTTTGTGGCACGTTTTGAAGAATTTCGAGGATTTTGAAATTTAAAATCGTATCTAATTCGACCCTGATGAACATGTATCTGCATGTACTAGTATGTATAGGAGATTTTAAGGAGACCAAAAAATGGAACACCACCAAAATGAAAATGTTTAGCGATTCCGAAAATGTTTGGCAATATTTACCTCACGAAGTTGAGTTGAGCTCACGAAGATGGAAATCGTACTTGGGTTCTTTCGAAATAAACACGAAATTTGAGCAATTAAACAATTAATGGTTTTTAATGGTTTGGTTTCGCAATATCAACGTATTCCGCCTAAGAACTTTAAAGATCAAATGAGACGATCATATTACATCACACCTTTTTAAAGACAAAAAAATTGTTAAAAAATATTATCCCAGTTTCCCATTATCGAATTAACCAATGATACTGTCCAATTATAAGTTCCCTTACAATTGCTTGAAGACTGTGTCTTGTTATGATAAATTGACTCACTCCATAACTTTCTTGTGTGTCTGTTGATATTCAAGCGGTATAGATATTTCACAATTAAAGGTGACTACTTACACGGACCGTTAAGCAGGTACCATAGACGACCAATTCACTTGTCGTCACTCAACAACATATGTCACCATGTTGGAATGGGGTCAGGGTCTACCTGGTATTGTACACCTGGGTGAATAAGCATTTTCTAGAAAATGTTGATTATTTAAGAGGGATACAGACTAAAAATATACTCTGCAAAGCGACATTTTTTATAAGAACCGTTTATGTCTTTTTCCTAAACCGGATAATACATTTTTCAACCAACGCCCATCAGGTGGGTTATACTCACTACATATGTATTGTGCGTGTGTGTACATAATTAAATAGGCAGAAGCACGGAGATTGAGAGAGACGGAGTATTTTATTATCATGCTACGCATAGAGGAAAGCGGAAAACAAAATTCTTGGCGGTTCTTCCTTCTCCCATCCATGGTAGCACACCGCACCCTTTTCTTTAAATTGCAGAAAGAAAAAAATTGAATGGAATTATTTTAATCGTGTTGATTTTGGTTCGGTTTGGTCATTATCTTCTTCCAAGGGGTACAGGAATGCCCGTGTTGACCCCTGTATGCGCCCACTTGCACATAGATTTCCATGAAAACAGCTCTTTAAAGACACGGGCCCTGGTTTTAAGTGGTCAACAGGCTGGCAAAGAAAGCAAACACCTGATTTTGACACCACAAGAAATATAGTTTTTGCACAACATCGTGAAAATTTTATAGGTTTTATGGTGAGGTGCCACTCTTCTGGGTATAGGATTTCTCAGACCCTAGCACAAAAGTATCTTTTCTTTGTTATTACGATCGCTTCTTAATTATTATTTTAAGAGTGTTTTTTTCGAAAAAATACATTTGAACTGCATTTTATTGTTAAGGACTGCTGTGAAATCATCCATTGTTTATTGTAAGCGCATATTTTCAAGAAAAGTAACAATCTTAAATTGCCTATTTGAAAAATTATAGCATCAAGGGTATGTCCACGGGTGCGTGCTTGCAGCTAAAATCATTTAATTACTGGTAAATGTTTTCTTCTTTTTGGTCAAATTTTTCCAGTTTTCATACCCACAGAGTTTTTAAAAAATTGTTAGATCATGGAAATAAAACCACATTGCGGGACAATTTCCAGTAATCGTAATGCCTAAGACACTTTTGTGTGGAGTTTCTAGAAATTAATTAATCAACAGCTAAAAGCATGTATAAAGCAGGGTATTCTAGGTACTACATCAAACTCCATTGCATTGTTTTTAAAGCTTTTGTTTTAAAATGTTTACCAGTCTCACATTATAAATTGCGCAATTCGCTTGATATGTTCCCTGGGTAAAACATAGATCTTCTCCCGCTGACTTTGATATTGAATGCAGTGGAAACAGACCTCAAGCTCAGGCAAACTGCAATTGCCTCACTCTTACTTCGTAAACACCAATGCATGCATAACAATTGAAAATAGTTATTGTTGCCCTGAGTCTTACATCATGCACGGCTGGGATGTTTTACGAAGTAGGGAGCTAACGTTTTACAACACTTCACATTTAAACTCAACTGCACTCTGATTTTTTTTTTTTTTTTTTTTTTGCATACTGCAAAGGTAGAAAATACCGCTTTAATCTTTCAGCAAAACTAAAAACACATTTGCATTCTTAATTATAATTACCGCTCGACCGCATATAGCCCAAGAAAGCAAAACTTTGTTATCTCACCCCTATTACTTGTACTGACTGACGCTGCGCACCGACTTAACCCAGTCGCTAGCGGGTTCCAGGTCGTCTTGGACCAGCTAGTGCTGTTTAAATAAGCGCATAACAAATAAGCCCAAAGTTTATGAAAATCACAATTTTTCTGCTTAAAAGGAAACGACCAACCTATATCTATTCCAGTCAACCTGAACCAAAGAGAGGTTTATGATTTGGATTTGGGTGCGAATGTTCAATTATAGTTCGCCTGGATCATTTCCGCTGATGCGCTTGTAGTAAAATCTAGGAACCTGTCACCAAAATAATGACAGTTTTTGACAGGGATAGATGTTGAATTCGTTCTAAGGGTTTTTTCCTGCCAAAATAATTTAAAAGTGCACATTTCTGTACATGTTCAGCGAGTTAATTAACGGCTGATTTAAAAGGTTAAGAAAAAGGGGAATCCGAGGAAGGTGAGAGAGGAGGTTATGACTTAAAAATATTTTCACTGTCCTTATAACTTGGGTAAAATCAGTTGTTTTGTCATCCATTTATAGCACTTAGTACACAATAATAGGTAAAGTTAATAATATTCTGTTCATGAAATTAACATTTGATTGCATCCAATGTGCATAGACCTGTAATGTATGTTTAAATAAACGCATGACAAATAAGCCCATACAATGTCCTTGTCCTTGTGAACAGATTATGATGAAAATATGATGAAAATATTTTCATAATGTCCAGCGACTAGATTCTACAATGTAAATGATATATTATGATAAGTTTTTGTTTGAAACTATTCTAAAACACGTGTAGAAAGCAAATTTAACATATTATTTATGTCTTTTTCGTTTTCAAATGGAGGAAGTTAAGTTTATATAAAGCAAGGGGGGGGATTGGAATAATAACAAAAACTAAAACAAAATGTGACAGTAAAACTAGAATATATATAAGTCTGTGATGGGTTATGTAAAATGATAACGTAAGTTTGCTTTTGCTGACATTAGGTTTGAGTAATACACATGCAGTGAATAATAATAAAAAAAAAACAAATTTGGTGGGGCTTTAATAAAAGAAACCCCACTCATCCTACGTAAATTGTGCAGTTGCTGAAATATGTTGAATCATGCTTGGACTGAATATTAGGATAAAAGAACTATTGATTCTCTTATTGGGTGGTGGTGGTGGTGGTGGTGTGTGTGTGTGTGTGTTTCAGTGTGCCGATGACACCGTTGTTTTATCTGAAAGCAGCGAATGGAACTTAGGCTTTCTCTGGTAGAACAAGTTGCCACTAATTCTGACCTAAAACTAAAGCAGAAAGTTCTCTGATATAAAGAAATAATGCACAGAAGAAATGCAGAAGGAGGAGACGAGTGGGACAGAAACTGTAAAAACAGGTCGCTCCAGATCCTCCTTATATCCTGGTTCTATTGTACTGAGTCCAACCTATGCACTGGCTTACTAAAAATCATGAAACAAGTTACTGGAGGCAAATGTATATATCAAATGTCATTGGAAAATCAGCCTGTCAAAACATTTTATACTATCTGTTTCCAGTTTTCTTCAGTGAGTCAACCGCACCTCATGTACATCGGGCGATTGTCAAGGATTAAAAACAGCAAATTTTGAGTTTGTTAAGCAAAGGTTTATTTCAAAATATATTTAAATGACATAAGTGATGGGGTAGTGGGGTAGTGAAAGACGCAAGGGTGGAATGAGAATGAGTTTAATGATTTGCTGGTCAAATACACGAGTAGTCATCTCATCTCTAAATTTTGTTTTGAACTTTAAATAATCATTTGATGTCCATTTTTTAATTGATTATGAACTATGTTCTTTTTTTTATTATTTGGTAGTTATCAGCAGGATTCACACCTGACACGTACTGCGTGGTGGGATATATATTGGCGGGACAGATGCGCTTCCACCAAATGCTTTCACGTATACAAATGGCCGTGCGTGTGATTACCGGTTCTCTTATACAGCTAAGGTTTACATATCTGACCTAGTTCAGTTTCCATTGAATGTTGTTTGGTTGAATGTTGCGTTGACTATTTGTTGCTTCCTGAATTGTGCTATACGGAAATAAAAAAAACGTAAGGAGAAACTCGCAACCTTTCCGCCGCGCCGGCTCATAGTTCGATCGGAAACAGAAACTTTGTTATGTAATTCTCAGTAAGCTATTGCATCAACACTAATTTCTTGTTTCTTGCTTTAATATCAGATTAATGAGGTAACAGAAAAATAATTTATGTTCAATAGATATTTGATGTCGGGTTCAATGTCAAAGACGCCAGAGCGACTGAAAGGCCTATAGAGGTATACGGGGAAAAAAATTAAAATATATTCGATATTATATTTAATAAAAAGAAACTTTTTAGTAAGCATGTTTGATGATCTGATCTGATATCCAGGACTTTTCTGAATTAATTCTATCCAGTAGCAACCGAGAACCAAATCAGGAGAACCCATGTACCGACTAATTGACTGATGTCTATTGATTAAAATGCAACTTTTCAAAAGCATTTGGTCGCCCAGAATCCATGGTACTCAAGGACGATTACATATTCAATAATTACATATGTTCTCTGGCATATGCTACTGCCAACTTCCCGCTCTCAGCGCTTATTCACGTATTGTCTGTTTTGAGCCAGGCAAAAGGCATTAGCCCCTACCCCTTCAAAAAATTGAGCCAGGCAAAAGGCATTAGCCCCCACCCCCTCAAAATATTGTGCTAGTCAAAAGGCATCAGCCCCTGCCCCTTCGAAAAAGTGTGATGTCCTAGCTTGTTGCCTACTCCATTTACAAATTTTTGGGGTGGTCTGGTGCTCTGATTTCAGGGAGGTAGGTGGACCACAAATGTGATACCAGGTCGACAAATATTTTCTACATTGGCGTCTGGAGGGCCTCATGACCGAGGCCTATAAGTAGGCGCAGATTTTTTTATATTGTGCGTCTTCAATGTAGTGTGCGTCTTCATCATTTCTGTCACGGTTTTCAAAAACGAAAACATGCGCCCGTAGTGTTTTATGGGTCCTAGGCACAACGTTGTACTTGGTAAACTTTGGTTTCTAAAAGGAAAATAGTTTGTGGTCCTCATGTTTTTATCATCTTGTGTTTGCCGTCCGTCGTTACGTGTGAAGAGCGTTTTGATCTAAATCTATTTACAAAATGTGTTTCAGATAGGTATTATTGATTTAAATCGGAAACCACGCACGCACCTCTACATTTCTAAATCGGGTTAAACTGTTGTCATATTTTGATCACGGCCTCGAGGTTCTTCTTGTTGTTTGATTTCAGTTTCACATATCGTAGCTTGTTATGGTTATTTGTAAGAAAAGCGATGAATCATTTGAAACTCAAAGTGCCTGGGAATTTGGCGGAAGATGAGGTAAAGTTCTCGAAACAGTATTGCTTCTGAAACAGTCATTGTACAACATATCAAGCCATAGTACATGTAGTTTTATTCAGCATACGTTAATATGTCCATCCGTGCTGTCATATCAGGAATAATAGCCGTTGTTGAAGCAATTCCTAATTTACTGGCAAAGTAGGCCTACATAATTTCAACAGTAGTGGTTTATTTATTTACCACAAGATTTTTCTTTTTGATTTTGACATCATTAGATAGCTACAATAAGACGATGAGTCACGACCTCTCTTTTCTTTTTCAAGCTGAATGTACAAATTAAGATAAAACGACTTAATGAAAGAAATCATTGTTCAGATTACGGCAGAATTTGAGGGACGCAATAAAAAAATTTTCATTGCATCAGGTGTGAAGCTCTGCTACTGCAATAGACTACAGTGAAAACTCCGTGGTTCGATAGATTGTGGTTGCGCTGCTGTTGTGGCATCTTGACGAATGCAGTCTGTTTTGGTAAACAACTATATGCAAAATACACGCAGTATTGTACTACATTAAACACAAGCTAAAAGATAATATCCACATTTCTCTGCATATTTGAGTTTACTATGTATCCTTCGTTTGAATTTCTCAGAAAAAAACACATGCATAGGGAGGGCCTATTTGAACATGGATATATATATATATATATATATGCACTGCATTATTCCCACATTGGGAATAAAATTTTTTGAATGAAAGAGGCTGCACTGAAGATTTAACCATAGTACGTCCGCTTTCAACATTCTGATGAGTACATTGAACCTAAAAGAAGCTCTCGATATATCTGACTGATAACAAAAGCAGTGCAGTCAGTGTGATAATGGATATCGACGATGTTGAACCTCCACTAGCAACAACGGGTCGAGAAATGTTAATGTGGCGGCTGGTCCGTCCATTGCTAGACCTAAATGGAAGGGAAATTTATGTTAGTTGATAAAATATTGCAATGTTGCATAAAAAGTTTTCAGAAGTGGACAGGGGAATAAGAATGGTGTGAATGCCACGAGCTACGTAGAACGGTGAAGACATTTGTTGTCAACTTTTGATAGTAACTTTTGATAGTAACCACGGAACGTATATTTTCATGTTTGCCTGTTTTCTCGAGGGTTTTTAAGTTTCGAACTCTTGCAACTTTCCACATCATTGAGAGTTTTTAACGTACGCGGTGTTTGAATTACAAAAAGTGGCAACGTATGGAAAACTATTCATTCGTTTATCTATTTAATCATTTAGCTAACATTGACAATTTACATTTAAGTCAACTTGTTAAACTAACCTTGTTCTCAGCATGGCTTTAGGCTTGGCGTCGCTTTCTCCGTCTGTGTTTAAATCTGCCCAAGTCTTCCCACTGTCGTCAGAAAACTGCACGGTCAACCCGGGGAAAGCAACATTGGCTTGCAGAGTGTTGCCATTATATCTAAATAAGTCAGATAATTATAATTAATTTTAATTAGACGCCAGGCCTGTAGGCAGCAGTTTCAAAGGGGGGGGGGGTATGAAAAAGTGGAGCTGCGTGTATTCATAGGACCTACAATAATGTCAAATTTAGATTCAGTCCGCGCATTTTCAGACCAAAGGGGCGGTTACCCCGGAGCCCTCTCCCCCAGCTTTGAGGACTGGATGTAAAATATCCAAAATGATATATGATCATTATGTTGTAAAATATATTGAAAGACAGTTTGTAATCTTTGACCAAATGTATGCGATAAAATATGGCGAAGATATACTTTATGATATGATAAATTTCTTCACTTTATCTTCAGATGGTGTCAATGATCGATTCATTTTCGTGCAACGCTCAATGTAAATTCAGTTTACATACGTTATGAATAATTTTGAATAATTTTAAAGCAATTTAACTGTCCACACCATTGTACTTACTTGGCGCCGGGACACGGCAGGTAATAAGACACGCCAATTTTGTCTAGGCGTGGCAGTTCCTTATAGCCTAAAAGATTAGAAAATCTTTCCCAGTCTTTCTTCCTCTGTTTTTCCCTCTCCACTTTGTTTGTAATATCCTCCCAGCTTGCCTTGTGCCACGCTCTTTCAGCTAGGGCCAACAACCGAGGATAGACATTGAATTCAAATTGTTCGCCAGTGCGCATTGTTTCACTCCACAGTTGCCCTTGTATACCTGTGAATGATATATAATCGCATATTAAATACTGTGTTTGCTTTATCTTAAAATGTAAATAAATAAATGAAAAACACGACGCTGACGTGTACTTTATTTTTTTCTATAATATCTCTTATAATGATGTATTATATACTCTACTTCTTGCATACTTTTATTTCCATTTAGTTCCTCTCTTAGAGCTTAGAATTACGACTCACTATAAACGGATGGTACGTTAGTCTATATTTATATTTACCTATGATATTCTCTAGTTTCTCTAAAGGCACGCACTGCGTTATGTCCTTACAAAACTCCTCTTCAGTCAATGGTTTGCCAGATCGTTCGTAGTCTACATTGGCAAAGAGGTTGTCCGGCATGAACCCAAACGTCTTTCTGGTATCGGTGAACCTAGGCCCCCAGTAATACCCCCTCTCCAAAGGATCTGGTTCTTGAGGGTGATCGAAATAAAGGTGTGTGACCTGGGACATCACTACCTACAAGCAACAAAGATGTGCATTTACTTTTGGAGAACTTTCCAGACACAATTCGGTTGATGTATTTGAACTGGAGGAACAAATAGATTTTGCCTCTCTCTCTTGTCTATTTTTGTACGCTCATTTTACATGACAATATATATTTGTCCACAGCATTCATTTTTGAACGGTATCTTACCTTATATCCCGCATTTGCCAGGTCATACGCACGCCTCGCGGTTCCCCATTCCCAGACGTTTTGCCAAGCATTGCTGTAGATTTGATCACTTTCTAGTTCTGTACGGTTGAAAGGAATGCCTTTTTCGCCTAAAAGCCCATCTTCCCACGCAGCGAGGCCAACGCCAAGTGTCTCTGAAAAAGAACAGTTAAGCAAAAACCTTATTTTACTTTCTGACTTTTTTTACTCTTTTGACTTGAAGTTTTGATATTATATGTCTTCTTTTTCAATGATGACTTACATACCGATACATAAATCTTTTGGCAATGAATATATAAAGAATAATAAATCCACTGTGTGCTGATACTTTCAAACATTACATCCTAATAACATAATTAGTTCTGACCCGTTATATTGGACACTTTCTTCAAGAACAGTTCCATCAAGTGTTCCTTTATACCAGCACTTGTGGCATTGACAGACGGAAAATAATTTCGGCAAATCGTAGAGTTTATCCATATTCCATCTGGAACTTCATCACCGCCATAATGAAACCACTTTAATGGCTGAATGTCCCGATGCATGTCTATTAGCGCCGATACAACATGTTCTACAAATCTATAGGAAGACTCTTGACAGGGGTTCAGTGCATTGTCATCAAAATATTGAACTGAGAGATATGTAGAAGTATCATTTGGTTCGGATAATAAGTACTGATCTGCAACCGAATCCGGTTGTCCTTTTTCCTTGAGATTAGCGCTTCTTGCCTTCATGGCGATAATGGCTGCGTGTGAATGGCCAGGAGTGTCTACCTCTGGAATGACTTCTATGTGTCTGTCGTTTGCGAATCGAAGTATTTCTTTATAATCATCGACAGTGAAGTATCCGCTTCCAAGTCCTACTCCGTTTGGCAATGATCCTAGTTGGGATACGACACAGGTTTTTTCCGTTACATCATGACACCGCTTGGAACCAACCTGTAACGATTAAATATCATAATGCGACAAGAAGGTGGTTATATCTTTATGGCAATTGCTTCTCACCAATTGTATGATTTGAAATCACAGCACATCTTTTTCATATGATACCGCTTTCCCACCCCAACAAAGAATGGATAGGCATTTTGAAACGCACACAATCAGAGCGTTTTTAATGTCGCATTTTTTTTTCAAATTAAACGTGGGTTTAAGCGAGCCCAGCCTGAACCTGTTGGAAAAGTGTTAGCAGTACTTACTGATGTCAACTCCTCTAATCCAGGTATCTCCAATCTCCACCCTTCGTCGTCTGATAAATGAAAATGGAACTTATTCAATTTATACAACGCCATTACTTTAAGCAGCTTCAAAATATCTTCCTTCGTCCTGAAATTCCTAGCAACATCCACATACATTCCTCGGAATGCATATCTTGGGGCGTCCTTCACTGCTATTTTAGGTAGTTTATTGTCCGGTGTTATCAAGCTTAGCAATGTCTGTATACCATAGAAAATTCCGGGAGCGGACGCTGATTGGATTTCTACATTTTTATTGCTATCGCTTATAGCAATGCTGTATGCCTCTGTGCTGGAACCCAAGCCATCTACTTGCACGTTCCCTTCTCTTAAAATTATGGCTTTCTGTTGCGGCCCTGGGTCAGAGTCCACCACAGTCAGAGGTAAAGAATCTTAAAAATGAATTAAGAAGGTTAAATATAATAAATGCGTTATTGGAAATATTTTCTCAAGTTTGATAATTGACAGCAAAACATTACTGAACCCGTGTTTCAATACCCAATATTTCATTTCTTTATAGGCTTCATAATGTATAAAATGGCTTGGGTTGGTTCTCATTTGATACACAGCCGACGCAAAAATTAAAGTTAAGATATTAAAAAAGAAAATGTCATACCAGTCAAACTCCATGTCTCGTTGATAAACCTTGGCTCAGCATACAACATCCAGTCCCCACTTCCCAAATCCAACATGGCATTTGAGTCAACCGTCATCTCCACAGGTTTTGGAATCACTTCCATCGGACTCTTCCCGAGGTTTGATATGTCGTTCAGTTTGTATCGCTTTTCAGGGGTGTAAGGGTCGTAATAATCCTTCAGGTCCTCGTAGTAGTATCGCTTCCATTTCACGGATGAATCCAACGGGCTGACAAAGTTGAGGCTTTCACCCGAAGTACTTTGTATGACCCGAGGACTTAGAGATGAATTCGAACTCGCTACGTACCTAAAACCGGCATTTAATCAACATTCAGAAAGGTGTATTCAGATTGTACTTTGTCTGCGCAGTTGTACATGTATAACTGGGAATTGAAATACATTTTAAAGTTGTGATCATTTCATTTAAACGTTTGTATACAGTCAAATGAAAGGTCATGTTTCTACTGATATTGCATACCATTTATTGAGACCAGTGAATACGAAAATCTTTCCACCGATTTATATCAAAATATGTTTCATCTGTCATTATATTATTCGATAAATATTGTTCGATACATATTATTTGATAAATATGTATGAAATCATTAAGAAATATTTCCCGATAAAAAATAGTGTTAAATCACTTTTTCATCAAAAGTTTCTTTTGTCACATTGTTTTTTACCTTACCAGTTTGGCATTACATCTGTCACGGCAACTGTCCAGTATTGTCCCTTGAACTTTATGTCATGTCGTTGTCCACCTGATAAAGTTTTAAAACCGTCATCAGGCTGCAGCTTAAAAAGACAACCTTTAATGTGGTAAATCTCTATTCCAGCTGTTTTATAAGCTAGACCATCTGGGTACGGTAAGTTCTCTGGCTCTATAAGTCTAATGTGACAAAAGTATATGGCCCAGTCGCCTTTCTCAATCGCTTCTAAACCTTTATTCGTCAGTAAAATCTGCGCGTCGTAAGTCTTCCACGTATCTACGGTGTTGTCTATAACGTCATAGCGGATTTCCAGGTTTTCACCAATGTAATCTAATGTTTGTTGCGTCTGGCCTAAAACTGGATTTAAAGAAGAAATGACAAATTAATAAATACTTCTTGCTATTTGCAAAATTATAGAATAAAGCAAAACGGCCATTTACGGACACTAATGAACATAACGGTATTTTCTAACGATTAAATGGGAATTAAGTCTGCTTTTGATTTACTTGATTGTTTCACGAGATATAAAATCACCGTCCGTATTTAGATAAACCGTGTAATGTTATCTGCGATGGCTGTCGTTATTACCATTACCAGATCACAATAACAATGATTACTGAAGTGGTGACATTAACGTACTCGCTGCTTCAAATGATACACTCTCTTATAGTGAGATCTCTCTAATATATTTTTTTTATCTGCGTAGCCTTGTTTGTCACAATCATGCTTACGAATATATAGTCAGAGTACGAGAAGAGAGCAGGTATGTACACGTGTGTTATCAAGATACTTTGAAAGTTTGTGTACACTATGTTCCTTAATTAAAAAGCGTCCTGAAGAGTTATCCCCCAATAACACTATAGCATTGGAGACCGGCTTAGTCGCCGCTCTATTTTTCTGAATTGAAATTATTTGCTAGCGTGGCATCAGAGCAACGCCGTTAGTGGCTTTGGACACGTAGGGTTAACAGGCGGTACAAACAATGAACTTTAAGCAGCATCAAGGCAAATAACTTTAGATAAATTGCATGACCTGGATATATGATTAAGTTGTAATTGCTATTTAATCTTAAAGGCGGGTCCATGGCCTGCTTTATTTCACAAACAGTCCTATTTCTTAAACATTCCAGTGGTCATTGAATGATATTGAAATGATATATACCTGTAGATTTTTGAAAGTTAACATTTAAGTGCGCTACTATCAGAATTTTCGCTCTCCGCAATTGATCTCGGGTCTTATATCCTCTCACCGGGCTTTATTCTTCGAATTACACAAGAGACTGTGTTCTACTTGTTTAATTTACCCCCTCCCCCTTATTAAGACTTATGAATATTTGCCACTCAGAAGGTCGTACTCCATGCAGGAATTTAATCATGTTGTCGCTGTCTCAAAAGCGTGCTCGTCAATATTTATAACGCCTTGGCAAATTAAGTGTACAAGTACCCATAAAATGATATGACGGTTAATGGGTGATACTTTTAATCTACGCAGGGAAATTAAAGTAATAAAATATACAGAGTAATATACAAAGTAGAAAACGAGAATGGTTATTGGAAATTGGACAGTTTGAACGGGTAGATAATTGGGCTAACTCTAAGATATGGGATTTTCAAACTTTCATAATGAAATCAGCATGTCAGTCATTTGAAGACACGGGGGGCATTTTTCTTTAGTTTTGTAGCAAATCTAATTGCAGGAAAAAATGAAGACTTTCTACGCATAAAACATTTAATCTCACATGTTGTAAATTCGAAATTTCTGGACAGAGATGTAAATTTCAAAGAAACGGGTTAGAAAGGGGTTACAGGAGATTTGAATGAATGAATAAGTTGAAGTCAGCCTGGACATTTTAATTAAAAGGGTGAAGGCATCGAAAAATCTGGTTCAACAAACGTGAGGTCCTGGCAATAGGTTTAACTCGCTCAGACCATTAGGCCCCTAACCTTTGTTTGTCTGGACCAATGTTTAAGTACCAATGCTCAGGTTTATATGTAGGGCCTATATTTTTATTAATGCTGAATGGAACTAACTGGACCAAACGAGCATACCTCATCATTTGTTTGTTTGTTTGTTTTATATTATTGACATTGAGGTTTAAAAAAGTTTTGACCTATATCTACATTCCCGTAGTGACCGATTATAATGAAAGTGAATATTTCGCTGAACTGGAAGAATGTAGAAGAAAAGCATTCAGAAGATAACAGTCGAAAACCTTACCAATATGAGTTTTGTTTAGACTGATAGTTTCATCATTAGGATAAATGACCTTGAAAAAACAAACAAACAAACAAAAAGACAGTGGAGATTAAGACGAACCATACGAGAATATTAAAAATCTCCAAAACTACCAGTGAATTTGCCCTGCCATGTCCTTACTTTTCAATTCAACCACCCATTTGAGCAAAAGAAGTGAAAATTGTTTTCCTTTGTATGCAAAAGTTAATCTAAACAAACACCATGAAACTGAACAGCCAGTGGAAGTGCAAGGAAAATCCAAAACAGAAACATTCCGTTAATATCAGATAAATCAAGGCCTTTACCTCGGATAGCTGAATGACTTTATCGCAGTTTGTCTACCTCTTGCAAAAACTTTTATTGACAGAGTATCGAATGACGTCCCCAAATTATTTTAAATCTATAAGTCTTAAAGCGTTAAAGAAAGAATGCTTAGCTTGTCCTATTTCTTGTAAAACAACACAGCTTCGCACTTTGTATTCCGACGCGGAAGCTTTTTGATACGTCTCTTTAGTAAACTATACATGAGTATTTTCGTCTTACCTGTATTATTTAATATGCAGACCAAAAACAATGCCACTAAGACGTAACTTAAGGGCGTTTCTCCCCAAGATCTTGCCATTTTTCTGCCAAGGCCCTATCGTTTCTTCTGTTTATGATTCCCGTGCTGACGCCTCATTTATATGCTAAGGTCAAGAAGCTTGCTTATCTTGTTGTCAGGGTGCGAGTATAGTGTATCGTTTGCTTAGCTAACTAATAGGCCTACTGATAAAAAGTATAGCAAATATGATTTACATGATTAAATAATAGTGTTCACCAATGTGAACAGCATTTTAAATGGACCACTTTAAAAATGCGGAATCAGGTTTTGATAATGTTTATCGCTTGGACCACATTGTTTATTTTTACACCACCTCTCTGATGATTGATAATATTTGATCTACTTATTTTTAGAAAATTAAAAGAATGAAAGAAATATGAAAAATTACACCCATGGTCGCACCCATTAGATAAATTAGTTGTGATTTAAAAAAATAAAGGATAAACCTTCTTTTTTCAACTCGGTTTTCCTTACTTATAGGTTAATGGTGGAAGTCTGTCAACAGTATGATTGCAGCAGTAATAGTGATTCAACTCACTCAATAAAGTAATTTTCAGATTTTAATCTCAGATTTAATTACGAAATAAAAAATATGGCACCAATTGCCTCTGGTATGAATCCCAACTATCGCAGCAAAGGCATCGTCAGTCAATAGGTGTTGGTTGCTCCGCTGCAATTATCATTTAAAACTTTATTTTCTCATATCAAGGAAATGAGTCTCCTCCTTGGTTCTCTGCAAAACACAGTCGAATGGCATCAGACGCAAGCCTAAAGGCCAGACATCAGATCCGTCTGCCTAATGGGTGTGTTAAATTCTCAGGTATATTTGAACATAAATCCATTTCCACCGTATTGGCACTGATCACATTGTTCTTAAAAGAATTCCCTGATACGACATACTGATAATAAAAGCAGTGCCGCCAGTGTGATTATGGATATCGGCGATGTTGAACCTTCACTAGCAACAACGGGTCGAGAAATGTTAATGTGGCGGCTGGTACGTCCACTGCTAGACCTGGAGTGATTGGAAAAATGATTCATATTAAGTGAAAAAGTAACGAAGAGAGATGGAGGAGATGGCTGGACCTGTTAAAGCTGGGTTTTAAGTAAAACGGTAGCAATATTGAACTGAACGTTTTGCTCTCCGCATGTGTGCCGACACAGTTGTAGGAAATAGCAAGAAAATTACAGTAATCTGTATTTCACGATTCAAAGCATTGTCTTAACTTACTTTGTCCTCAGCATGACCTTAGGTTTGGCGTCGCTTTTAGCGTCTGTGCTTAAATCTGCCCAAGTCTTCGCACTGTCGTCAGAAATCTGCACGGTCAACCCGGAAAAAGCAACATTTGCTTGCAGAGTGCTGCCATTATATCTATAAAAATGCAATTATTAGAAATAACTTTTAAATTGATGCAAAATACATTTATAAGAAGGGAATAAGGCATGATACAATTAAGATATGTTAAAATACGCTTTACCCCAATTTAAAGTAAAGTAATATCGTGAAAAAATAATAAATCACTGAATTTATTTCAAATTATGCACTTAACCAACAGCATTCATGCCTTAGAATAGTCTCAGAGTTTCTTTCATTGATTTGGACGCTGTATGGGAAGATTATAGACAGTGGGTTAGGTTTTCATATAAGATTAATCAGCACATTTTCAGTTTTAATGAAAATATCCGCAAAACAATTTTTATTGTTGTTGAAGTAAATTGTCCACACCATTGTACTTACTTGGCCCCGGGACACGGCAGGTAATAAGACACGCCCATTTTGTCTAGGCGTGGCAATTCCTTATAGCCTAAAAGATTAGCAAATCTCTCCCAGTCTTTCTTTCTCTGTTTTTCCCTCTCCACTTTGTTTGTAATATCCTCCCAGCTTGCCTTGTGCCACGCTCTTTCAGCTAGGGCCAACAACCGAGGGTAGACATTGAAATCGAATTGTTCACCAGTGCGCATTGTTTCACTCCATAGTTGCCCTTGTATACCTGTGAACGACATGAAATACGATATAAAATGCTGCATATATTTTTTATTCAAATAAAAAATCTAGAATAGAAATAGCATATTTCTGGTGAAAATATGCCTTTATAATTATCCTATTATCTTTTCTATATTATTATTATTTGAAATGGTGTATTCTGTTACCTAATTTTTTTTGAATATATATCTTATGATTAAAATTCCTTTTTTTAGGTAGCTTAAACTCGTCTTCCTATAAACGGATGAATTGCTAGCTTGCATTTATATTTACCTATGATATTTTCTGGTTTCTCTAAATGCACGCACTGCGTTATGTCCTTACAAAACTCCTCTTCAGTCAATGGTTTGCCAGATCGTTCGTAGTCTACATTGGCAAAGAGGTTGTCCGGCATGAACCCAAACGTCTTTCTGGTATCGGTGAACCTAGGCCCCCAGTAATACCCCCTCTCCAAAGGATCTGGTTCTTGAGGGTGATCGAAATACAAGTGTGTGACCTGGGACATCACTACCTACAAGCAACAATCGAATATGGCAGTGGGTTTTACCTAAGAGATCTTGCCACAATCCCTTGGCTGTGTTTGAGCTGGTAGAAAAAAATATATTTCTCTCTCTCTCTCTCTCTCTTCTGTCATTGTCCAATAGCACTTTGGTACAGTCATTTAATAGCGTCCAACAGTAGCGTAAGCACTTCAAGAGCTATGATATCAATGTTCACAAAGCAAAGGTAAGAAAATACAATAAACAAGAAGTCATCATTGAACGGTATCTTACCTTATATCCCGCATTTGCCAGGTCATACGCACGTCTCGCGCCTCCCCATTCCCAGACGTTTTGCCAAGCATTACTGTAAATTTGGCTGTTTTCAAGTTCAAAACGGTTGAAAGGAATGCCTTTTTCGCCTAAGAGCCCATCTTCCCACGCAGCGAGGCCAACGCCAAGCTTCTCTGTATTAAGAAGAAACGACAATATTGCCAGAACGTTAACTTAAGTCTTAAAAACTTAATCAATTTACTTATTTGCTGTTCAAGGTCTATTAGGATTCCCGTAGTTATGACATACCTTATTTATCGTTGTTAATTTACAGACCAATAATTTATATAAATTGTTCACACATAAAGATATTAAGGGAACGGCAAATTCTCTGTAAGGTGACACTTTGATATAGTATATCCTAAAAGTTTTTGACCTGTTATATTGGACACTTTCTTCAAGAACAGTTCCATCAAGTGTTCTTTTATACTAGCGCCTGTTGCATTGACAGACGGAAAGTAATTTCGGCAAATCGTAGAATTTATCCATATCCCATCTGGAACTTCATCACCGCCATAATGAAACCACTTCAGTGGCTGAATATCCCGATGCATGTCTATTAGCGCCGATACAACATGTTCTACAAATCTATAGGAAGACTCTTGACAGGGGTTCAGTGCATTGTCATCAAAATATTGAACTGAGAGATATGTAGAAGTATCATTTGGTTCGGATAATAAGTACTGATCTGCTATTGAATCCGGTTCCCCTTTTTCTTTGAGATTGGCGCTTCTTGCCTTCATGGCGATAATGGCTGCGTGTAAATGGCCAGGAGAGTCTACCTCTGGAATGACTTCTATGTGTCTGTCGTTTGCGAAGTGGAGTATTTCTTTATAATCATTGACTGTGTAATATCCGCTTCCAAGCCCCTCTCCGTTTGGCAATGATCCCAGTTGGGATACGACACAGGTTTTTTCCGTCACATCATGACATCGTTTGGAACCAACCTGCAACGATTGAATATCATGATGCCACCAAACGGCGGTTATACCATTATGGTAACTGCTGCTGAATTTCTCATCAATTTTGGTTGATTTGAAAACGCAGCGCGCCTTCTTCGATTTATACCCTGCTCAAATCCAATTAGGAATAGAAAGACATTTTGAAACGCGGACAGTGAAGCATTAGATAAACGTCGCAAATCTTTTTCAAATAAAAAAGCGTTCTTACATGAGTCTGGTCTGAACCAGTTAGAATAGATAAAACACTACTTACTGATGTCAACTCCTCCAATCCAGGTATTTCCAATCTCCATCCTTCGTCGTCTGATAGATGAAAATGGAACTTATTCAATTTATACAACGCCATTACTTTTAGCAGCTTCAAAATATCTTCCTTCGTCCTAAAATTTCTGGCGACATCCACGTGCATTCCTCGGAATGCATACCTGGGGGCGTCCTTTACTGCTATTTTAGGTAGTTTATTGTCCGGTGTTATCAAGCTCAGCAATGTCTGTATGCCATAGAAAATTCCGGGAGCGGACGCTGATTGGATTTCTACATTTTTATTGCTATCGCTTATAGCAATGCTGTATGCCTCTGTGCTGGAACCCAAGCCATCTACTTGCACGTTTCCTTCTCTTAAGATGACGACTTTTTGCTGGGGCCCTGGTTCAGAGTCCACCACAGTCAGGGGTAAAGAATCTAAAAGTTAGAAATAGAGGATTAAACATAACAAATTCGTTATTGGAAAGTTTTTTTTTCTGAGACCTGTGCGATTGACAATCGACAGTAAATTAACAGTATGAATGGACAAGAGTCAGTGTTTTAATATTCGATGCTTTAAATCCACACAGACAGCATAATGTGTAAAAATTGCATACATTTACTTCATACCCGTCAAACTCCATGTCTCGTTGATAAACTTTGGGTCAGCAAACAACATCCAATCCCCACTTCCCAAATCCAACATGACACTCGAGTCAACCATCAACTCCACGGGTTTTGGAATCACTTCCAGCGGACTCTTCCCGAGGTTTGATATGTCGTTCAGTTTGTATCGTTTTTCAGGGGTGTAAGGGTCGTAATAATCCTTCAGATCTTCGTAGTTGTATCGCTTCCATTTGGCGGCTGAATCCAGGGGGCCTACAAAGTTGAGGCTTTCACCTGAAGTACTTTGTATGACCCGAGGACTTAGAGATGGATTCAAACTTGCTACGTACCTGAAACCAGGATTTAATCAAAATTTTAATGGACAATTGAAAAAAAAACAGGTTCTTTACATTCTCAATTATCTTCATCTGTCGTGACATATGTGAAATATACATAGAAAGCAATTTTCTTTTCGTATAAATAATTTCTATGTTCTTACTTTTAAGAAATATACTAATTGGTTTTTGGCCTATAATGCTTACCAGTTTGGCATAATATCTGTCACAGCAATTGTCCAATACTGCCCTCTGAACTTAATGTCAAGTCGTTGGCCACCTGATAACGTTTTAAAACCAGCATCTGGCTGCAGCTTAAAAAGACAACCTTTAATATGGTATATCTCCATTCCAGCTGTTTTATAAGCTAGACCAATTGGGTACGGCAAGTTCTCTGGCTCTATTAGTCTGATATGACAAAAGTATATGGCCCAATCGCCTTTCTCAATCGGTTCTAAACCTTTATTTGTCAGTGAAATCTGCGCGTCGTAAGTCTTCCACGTATCTACGGTGTTGTCTATAACGTCATAGCGGATTTCCAGGTTTTCACCCATGTAATCTAATGTTTGCTGCGTCTGACCTAATACTGAAATGAAGGTAGATATCATACTGTAAATTAATCAATGTTCCTACTATTTGCCAAATTATAGAATAAATCAAAATGGCACTTTATAGACCATGATGAACTTACTGGTATTTCGTAACGTTAACATGCGTAATTAAGTCTGCATTAGGTTAACTTAAGCATGTCACGGAAACAATATTACTGTCTATATTTAATGTAATCATGGAGCATAATTATAGTCGTTATCGCCATTGCCAGATCACAATGACACCGAGCCTCTCTAATATTTTATTGTCCCCTTGGTATACACCCTTCTTTATCACAGTTAACAAAATGACCTTTGACTTTACCATTAATAAAAAAATGGATGTGTTTTTAAGATTATCACATTCAAACATTTATTACCGATCTGCTAGAAAGAACACAGGAAAGCGGAAATTTACAATCATGAATTCGAAAAATGTAATTTGAATTTTCGAACACTGCATGGAGATCCACAAACTGTATGTCCCAACAGTCGGGTCATTTAAAGTACTGTTGCTTTTCATGTAATTCATAATGGTGTTCTGATGTAAAAGAAATCTGAAATATAGCAAAAACTCAGAAGGTCCATTTCATACGTACTGTAACTGTTTTTATTGAACCAAGGTAATAAAAATATTTTGTAAATATATAAGCCTAGGGCAAATTAGTTCCACAAGTGCTCATAAAATGATAGAGCATTAAGCCCTTGACACTTTTATAAATCCAATATAAAATATTTGGTTTCCGCAGGGTACAAAATGTAATGATATAAAACCGTGAATGATCTGGACAAATTGTTAACTATTGGAAGTATGAAAACCAAACAATGATGATAATAATAGAACTAATGATGATGATAATGAGAAAATAAGAGAAATTTTAATTTTTTTTAATGTTAGAATATCTAGTGTAATTCAATGAAATCTTCACATACTACGGCATGTATTTGCTTCTTTCCCCCACCCGATACGTGTGTATAAGATTTCTACTTTTTGATATTGAAATCTGCATGGGGTGACGAGTAGATAGCAATCACTTTAAGCCTCGACATTTATTTGAATCAAAATAAATCTTTTAAAATTGATCACTACTGCATGACTTGACCTGCGACTTCGCGAAAAAATCTAATTCTAGATCACGCACAAGGACACATACTATGACAAAAGATTACGATAACTGTTGGGAGACAGCCTTTTTTTCTAAATGTTTGGTAAAGGGAAGTTTGGCGTAGATCAAGGAGACATAAATGATTTGGATGGAACGTTTGAATGAATGAATAACTTAGCGCTGACTTAAGCCATTGGGGGAATGGTATCGCAAGTGCTATCTAAATTTGTTTTATAAATAATTCGACCCCAATACTTCAAATCTACCTTTGTTGGCCTTATTTTTAAAGCAATGATGAATTTATTAAATGTTATAGACATGCATATAATCCATTAAAACTGCATGTGTCTATAAGTTATTTAATCACGACAAAAAGCATTTTAATGTAGAAAGTAGATCAAAAATCAATTACACTGAAATGAGGCAGGGGATCAGTTGGAACAAACGGGCAAGAGCATCGTGTTATTTGCCGAAACGGTTGCAAAATTCACTTTGTTGAAAAATCCTCCTCGCGGCACTTGGTAAAGAGAAAGTGAATATTTTTGCGAGCAAAAATAATTAGGTCCTCTGTAAAGCATTCTGAAAAAATAGAAGTTTATGTTAACTTTTCAATGTCTCTATCGTGAAGAATGGTTATAACCAAAATTTAGGCAAATAGAATGTGGGATGAGCCATACGGAACTGCATAATTTCTACAACTGTCACAAGCACTGGTGTTCGTCAGCCAGATCCTATCAAACAACCCACTACTGTGGTTGTTTTCCCAAGCTATTTTAAATAAACATCATGAAACAGAACAGCCCGTGGATGTACAAAGAGAATTCGAAACAGAAACATTCCGAAGCTCATAAAAAGAAGCCTAGGGCCTGACAGTACATCTGAGTTAAATAGAAACGTTTATTACATAGTGTCTCATCTCTAGCTAGGATTTTAATAGACAAAAACATTAGCAGATGGCCCTGATTTACTTCAAATTTATAAATCAAATACCGGAAAGAACGGATCCTAAGGACGTCCTAGTTCAAACAATACAATAGTGCTATGTCCTCTTTCTACACGTGCGATTTCAAGTACGGAGGTGTCTCTTTAGATAACCTATACGTATTTTCATCTTACCTGTATTACTTGATACACAAAGTAAAAACAACGCCAGTATAGCGTAGCCGTGTGTGGTTTCTCTCCAGCGTCTTGCCATCCTTCTGTTAAGATCCTTTCGTTTCCTATGCTGACCCCTTTAAATGCTAAAGTAGAAAGTCTTGGTTAAGTTGTTGCTAGGGTGCATATCTAGTGTATCGCTGTCTTCTTGGACTTTAGTTGGCAAAAAGTATTCCAAACATGATCTGCATGGCTAAATAGCAGTGTACACTAATACACTGTGTGTTACAAACTTTGTGTACGTTTGAATTAGGTCACTAAATAAAACGCAAAATCCCAATCTCGGAATTTGTGTTTTGGGTTGACCGTGCAGTTCACTTTACAACCAAGCGTACAAAAATGCAAGCACATGTAATAAAAGATTAATTGCAGAATGCAAGAAGCGAAATTATAGAAAGAGGTCTAGAAAGTTTCCCCTTGCTCACGTCCGTCAGGGTAGTTACAATTATCATGAAAACGATAGTAATGCCTGTATTAGTTACTGAAATGATAAACAATGGATGAAAATATGAAATAACGCATATAGAAACCGTGCTTCCTCGGAATCGTACGTATTGAAAGAATGCGTAACACTCTTGGGCTAAAAAATTAACCACAAGAGACCGAAATGATCCACATTCTTGCGTTGGGAATTCACAGAGCAGCGTTGGGTCAGGCAATTTGATGTATAACCTATTGTATGAGACAAATGGCTAACCAAAGTTTGATGAGTTTTATTTCTTGATATATGCAATGCCCCGTGGAACCCACAATTTACCGGTATTTGGTACACTCTTGAATAAAGAACGGCGAAGACATTTTCTTTCACTTCATGTGAGTTTGATAATTGCTTATTTTTAAAATTTTTCAATTCCTTCAATTATTTGCAAAAGGATGTCATTTTGTCTACCTGACCTTTTTCGCCTACTTACAGCTTGCAAAAGGCACAACTAAAATGTTTTCCGAAAACCTGTAAATCTACATCAATGCACACTGACTATATCTATACTCTGCATATATATAAAGAAAACTTATGCCATTCAAGATTAACAGATCAATCACTTATCGGAACATAAATACTTTGTACATAGTGACTCAATAGGTTATGTATTAATGGATAAAAACTAGGAATGTTCTATTTTACCTGACAGATAGGCCTAGATACGTAGTTTCTACCTTCGTTCTGTTTATACACTGCCTTCTGTCTGTTCGCCGTCCCGCTTGGAACTGGCACAGTGTATATTGGTATAAACAATAAAAACGTTTTACACAGTGGGAAATAGCCGCTGGTACATCTTCGTTTCCATTTATCATTTGATAGCGATATAAATGACTACCATACTGATTTATGATTACTCATAATCTCACGACGAGTCCACGCGGATGTGACACTTTCTTTTTTTGAAAGGTAATTTGTTTTTTAAGCGCTGTGACATGAATCGGCCTTAGTTTTCGGGTGAAGTCAAACCAATGACAGTGACGCAGTAAGTACAGGGATCATCATCGTGACTTGCATTGTGTATACATTGTAGGCCTAAATAAAGACATGCAAACATGATAACATCCTATTGGCCTGATGTGGAATGTGGCTTAAGGACACAAGGGGAAAATCATCTGCCTTTGCTCGTCAAAAATGGAATAGTAAACGAGCTAAGGGAAAGACATCCGCTCTACCCTCCTCTGGCTCCGCCATTACATCCAATGCTTACTTTTTCATATCTGTTTTAATCTGTTTGGTTCGTTATTTTTTTCTGGGCACACAAAAGCCTCTAATGTCACAGTTTTAATGCCAGTATTTCGTTCTCCCAGAGGGAAATTTATGGTTTTACAATGTAATAATCTACGTGTAATAAGTCGCTATTACCGATCAGTTTTAAATATTTTAGCAAATTATCTTTTTAAGTAACTACATAGGCCTTATTCCTACATGCAAGCTACTATAGTATTTAGTTCATTAATTCATGTGATACAAAAATATTGCTTTTTCGCGTCCTTAGGACATTTGTTTTGTTCTTTATATATATCACAACTCTTGTTTTGTGACCCTAGAAATGTGGTTATAGTTTACCTGTAAATCATGTGCCGTCCACGAAACAAAATATTTAGGAAATAACTTTAAATCATGTGCCTTAACCACCCGTTTTGCGGTTATAACGTGTCAATTTTTCATACTCTGTAGGGCTATAGGCCTATATACTACCCTCTACCGGGGTCTCTATAGCTGTTACAAAATTTGACGAAAGACAGCAAAGACATAAGCTTGAGGAGACTGAGAATACATGTACCATTATGTACCCAATAGGTCATTATAATACAGGGTGGGCCTACTTCATTTCATTTTTATTTTCAATTGGAGACAGAACATTTGATAATGATAATAGATAAAAAATCGAAAAGTAAAAAATAATAAAAATTATAAATAGATAAGTAATTAAATGATATGAATAAACAAATAAAAATGAAATTAAATAATCATAAAAAGTACGAAATTGATTAAATTCAAATAAAAAACATAACACTATTTCGAAATTTCAATGTTTAATTCTCTAGGCAGAATATTTGTATTTAGATGCATACTTTATCATAGAAAAGGACAAGTCGAGAGAGAGAGACAGGACTTCAATGGCCTCAGCAACTTTTTTTACCTAATAGTTTGTACTTTCAATCTTTGACGTTAGAGGTCACTAGCGTAAAAAGGATTTAAAACATTCACACTTCATGAAAACCTGTGATTCAGGACACATTTGGTTTGGAATTGTTATGAATATAATTCAAATTATAAATGTGACTCAAACTTATCCTGTATTTCATGACTAAGGTTTCTAAAGTTCAAATGATACTATCACCTCTTGAAACGTGCAACTTGCCAGTGTCACGTGACTAAGTCAGTTGCAAAATGGCGAAGGATTCCTTGACAGCATGTAAACAGCAGGAATGAGCATCGAAAAGGTGAGTAACTCTGATTGCAAATTGGATGCTGAAAGAAGCTTTGCTTACGCAGAATAAAATACTTGTTTATTTTGATCTTTTGGAACCGTATTCATCTTTAAATAGTTTGTGTTTAATAATTTTGAACTGATTGAAAAACTGAGACTGAAACCAACTTCCAAAAAGTGGCCAAAAAGACGTTAAAATTAAGTTGTAAAGGCAAAGACACTTTTAAAGTTAAACATTAAGATTCGAACCAGTCCAGGGTCTTATTGTGTTTTAATGCCTGTGTATTATTTAGATTCTAAGAAGACTTCCAATGACTTTTATCTTACAAATTTAGTCTAAATTTCTTTACTTGGCCAGATCGAGGCGAATACGGTCACAGTATGATATTGGTAATTGTAGACAAGTACCAGTGTAGCTGCTGTGTAATGCGTACGTAACTAAATTTATTGTGCCATGGTTTGTAAGCTCACAACATAATGACATCATATTTACCTGGGTAGTGTTAATTTGTTTTGTTTTTGTATATTTTATTCAAAGATTTTAATGTTAATGACCCTGTCACGTTTATGCCAGCATTAGCAAGAAAACTTCGCGTATATATATAACTCCAAATTTGAAGCTGAACTTACATAGGGTTCTGGCAAAGTCAGTGTTCTGATAATGTATCTGTGAGGGATTGATATAGTTTTGCTAGAAATTCGGGGTTTAAATTTGAATTAAATAAACCTTAAGTACTCTAGTGCTACTAGTTTACCAGTACCGTAGTTATTAGTTTATCCTTTAATTTATGAAGTTACTCTAATTTATGAAATTTATATCTTTAGTTCATTTTTACTTTTGTGAAGTGTGCTTGAAGCATTTTTGAAATATGAACACAGCTTCAAACAAGGAAACATCTTTCTAAATTGGAATTGAGGGATTCACTGCATGGATGACCTTTAACAAAAGACCAATCAACAGAAATATTTTGACTGATCTTTTTTTCCATTTGATCCTGCAAGAATGCAATTAATTTTCTGTATAACTTCCTTTTTTGCCTTTCAAGTCAAGCTGTAGGATTCATGGGAATATAGATTTAACATTTATCATGCAGCCTAAGTAAACTGTTCTATTTAAATATTGATCATGCATTCCATTTACAGTTGTCCAATACATGTAACGGCTGTGCTTAAGAATGTATGTTACATTGAACATTAACTGGACTCCAGAATTATTGTCCAATAATCTCATCCAAATAAGAAATTAAATAGTAAATGTGTACTGGAAATGGATTTGAAGACATTGCATGTGTAGGGACAGCAAGAACAGATAAGTCTCTTAAATCAAATCATTTTTTTTTTTGTAATACTCATTCTTCTTTCTTATCAGTTTGATTAATATTTTTGTTGGCATTACCTTGATTGATGAGAATTGTATAATGTAATATTGGTAGGAGTGAAGTTCAGGTAGTTCCTTGAGTGCATACTAATGTGAAATTTGATATTAAAGTACCTTAGAAAAAAATTAGTGAAATGTGCAAATTAGCGAGTAAAATCTTTATTATAATTATGTGTTCCAACATTGCTTTTTATAAAAGACACTTTACATAATGTAATTGAAAGATAACATAATTTAACCGTCTCTTCCTTGGAAATATACATGTTTTACACTTTCAACTTTCTACTAAGATAAAAAAAAATGTTAAGGGGAAGCTTTACCTCAATAGCATTAGTTTTCCATTTAACTCAGTATACATACCTTGTACAACTGAAATTGGCAAAATAAAAAAGAAATTGTATCAAAATGTGCAGAATTACATTCCGTGATCCCATTCATGCCTTGCCTTATGACACAGTAGCATTTTCACTACAATGAAAGAGCTTCTGTTCATGTAATACACAATGTTATGTCAACTTTCACCACAATCACAACACAAACTTCTGATCAAATAGTCATTTATTGATTAACATTGCCATGTGTTTGGATTCACTTCTTGCACTCACTTTACTAAACCATTATCAATACCCAATCAATACTAATTGAAATAAGACACATGTAGCAGCTTGTGTTTAATGAAGAAGTAGACAAAGAGAGATGGCATGCACTTGTCCCTTTGTCTGCATGATCTTGTTGTGCTGGCTTGGCACATAGACAGGTGCGTATTTTGACCTTTACTTTGGTACTTGTAAGGCTGGGTTGGTGTCAGTTACATTCAGAGTATAGCATGTGTCTTTTTGTGCGATGGCTTGGGTATCTTCTTTATATCATTTAGCTACTCTTTTAACTGGACCATGCAATAATATTTCAGATAACCTGTTATCAAAGAAGAAATTCAGATGTTCATGTTCAGTGAAGGCATTTACATAGACGTTTATGCTGTTTTTGTTCCTATACCATGAGATATGGTGTGGACTAGTCCTAGGTAATATAGTGTAGGTCATGCCATATAATACATGTAGCATCGAATAGCTTTAGAGCTGATATATGCTTACTAATAAGTGTTAAAAAGCAAAAAGGATGGAGATGGCACCTTGAAGGTTCAAAGTTTTACCACATACGTACTGGACCAAAATGCTTATCAGAAGTAATTATTGTAAATTGTACATCTTTAATATTGTTATTGTTTATTAATATACTAGTAGGCTGTCCAATGCATAACTTTGGCACATATAATATAGCATGTTTTAAACTCCCGAAATCAATTTTGCCCTGCAAATTGGACAATTTCTTCTTATTTATATATATATGTCATCTTTGTTAAAACTTACATGTACCTTCTAGAAACAAAAACAGTACAGGTACATGTATTTTTTGTTCATGGATACATGTGTATATAAAATGTAACCAGAGAAAACAAATACTAGTACTCCAAATTAAAGTGCCTACCTCAAAAATATAATTTATGCCATTAGCATCTTTTATCCCAATATGGAAAAAAAAAAAGATAAACAGGTGAAAGCTGTAAACCAGATGGGTGTGAGGAAGTTGAAGGAAATTAGATACATCTAGCTGACATGGACTGGCCTATGTTTTGATAGAGACTCTACTGAATTTGGCCTTGTTTTGTTATACCAGCAGCCCAGGTGTAAAATACGGTTGGTTGCAATAGAAACTGGTGGGATACTGCAGTATGCTATGGTTTGTAGGAATTATTGTATGTTTTCTCCATCTATTGCTTGGTGTACATGTGTTTTTTAGATAAGGTATATAACCCGTATATGTAATCAGATGCACTGTGGCACCAAAATGCACCTTTTGTAAAAAGAAGAACTGCATTATTCAGAACTCTACAAATAATACTGAAATTATATCTCAGGGATCCATTAAGCACTATAGTCTTCAACATCAGCTGCTGACCGCTGGGTGAATTTAGACAACGTAAATTGTTATATTGGACTGGTGCCTATTATATCTATGTAATGTTGCAGTGTTAGGTTTAGAAATTTCATTAAGAGCACATGGAATTGGAGTGGAATACCTTTGGATCTGTGTTTAAATAAGTCGGTCTTTGTGATTGGACATGAAAATTGATAGATTGAATTGGTTATTTGGTGATTACTCATGATCCTCATCTCCTAAAATATGCTGCTTCATGTGCCTGAATTGATAACTTAAGTAGTAACAGTTGACTGATAAATTCATATGCAGATAGCTCCAAGTCTCACATCCTGAGAGCATGACTGCATGCATTGTTTTTTGGTGTTTCCAGGAAATGACTCCTAGAAATTCAAAAGTGTCCTTGCCTTTAGTTCTTTGTCTGATAAAAATAATGCATCGCATTTCCAGGGCTTCAAATTACATTAATATTCATAATCCTGAGAGATAAGTGTCTAATATATTCTTGTTTTTGAACACCATGTCTGGACAACCCAACCCCAAATATGGATGAGCAATGCTCACCACCATATAATGGAAGTGTACCATTTCCTACTCATAGTCCAGGCCAATGCCTGGAGCATAGGACCCAGCAGATGGAATTATAATACATATTGAATTATTCTCATAAAAAGGTTTGCTAAAATGTATCTCTGTCAGGCTAGAGAAATAATGCTATTACTGCAGTTCATGCATGGGGGATTATCAATGGAATCCACAAACCATTTCCCAGACTTTTAAAGCCTGAGTCATTTTAGATTCTATGACCTGAGCTTTTTGTTTCTTTAAAACATAAAAATAAAAGAATCTGTTTTGTTAATATAAAGAAACTGTTGAATACATGTAATAAAAAGATTTCCTAAAATATTACTGCCACCATCTTTTTGTGTTGAAATAGAGTAACTAGTGCACTTTTGCACCTTGACATTCATGCATAGGTGTAAACAATGGGACACTGTTGTAGTAGATAGGTACTCAGTATATAGAATTGTTATAGACACTGTGTATTATATGCTGTTGGGTTTGAAAGTGGCAAAGGTTGAAATACAACATGTGTCTTTTATGCTGTTACAATAAATATATTATTGAGGAATTTTCTCAACTTAAGGTGCTGAAGTGCATTTAGTTCATGTTTGTAGAGAATGAAGATATATGATTGAGTAAAGAAAAAGATAAGATCAGTCTTTGGAGCCAGGCTAAAAATTTATGTATATCATATATTTATGTTTATATGCAGTACACATAAAAGGAGAGGGGGTTAAGATACCCCTGTGTCAAAACATTTCAACATTGTGTAAATAGATATATTCTTCATAATTTTCTGAGTGTTAAAACCCATAAAAAAAAGAGAAAAAACTCAAAATATGTCCAATTTAACCATTTTAAGATCCGGTTCCCCTGGTTGCTTGTTGTTTCAGGCATACTGCCCAGGTACACAATATTGCACTCACAGCTAGCTAATAAAGTTCACAGCTGTCACTCCAGCACCACTGCACCCAAACTCATGCTTACAACTGTTCTACTTTAGGTGAAATGTGATATACACCAGGTAATACACCCATTTGTTGTATGATAGGTCCAAGGGGTAACCCATTGAAGAGGGTATTTAGGAATTTGTAATGGTAAAACTTACAGTAATGTTTTGTGTGGGGATCAAA